GCGGTTCAGGATGGAACCGTTAAGCTCTGGGGTGAAGGACCAGGTATCCCGCATCTCGGCCACGTGCTTGGACCGCTGTCTGAGGAGAGCATCCAAGTTCGTGAGTGATCCTGGGTCCGTATTGCAGATGACCATTGACAACGCTGCCGAGGTAAGACATGCTTTTGTGCCATTTTTTACCATTTTTTACTTTCTCAAATCTCAGCTTGGTCTAACCATCGTGCTTTTTGATTTTCGCAGGCGTTTGTCGCTTCCATTCATTCAGTGGTTATGATCAAAGCCGAACTGGATGGAAGAGAGGCTTTGGCAGCGAAGGAGAGGGAGAACTCCTCTGCTGCCTTAGAGGCTGCCACCACGCTGAAGGGCGAGCTGCTAAAGGCCCGGGGCGAGGTGGATATTTTAAGGGCCGAGGTGGATGCCAAGGCCGAGCTTCTGAAGAAGAAGGGTGAGAAACATAAGGCCCACCTCCGAGCAGCCCATGCTATCACCAAAGGGCTGGAGAAGGAGAAATTCCAACTCCTGAAGGAGAAGGACGACCTTGCTCAAGTCCTTGAGGAGAAGGATACCTCAATTGGGCGCCTTACGACCGAGCTCAAAGACCTGAAGGAGCGCCTTACCAATGGAACTCTGTTGGAGGAGTCGTTCAGGAAACACCCAGACTTCGATGGGTTTGCCAAAGACTTCAGCGATGCCGGCTTCAAGTTCCTGATGAAGGGCATTGCTGCCGACATGCCTCATCTTCAGATCGATCTCAAGAAGAAGTATTCTGAGAAGTGGGCTTCTGGGCCTAACAGTACTCCTGGCCCCCAATCACTGGTGGATAAGTACGTCAGGGAGCTGAACTCTGACTACTCCGATGTGGAGGAACAGGATGTACCTAGCCTAGAGCCTAATGAGGTCGGCACGACGCAAGAGGAGGTTCCTTCTCAGCAGGGCGGATCCCAAGAGGTCAACCTTCTGGGCTCCCAGGGCGAGTTGTCCTCCCACCTCGGAAGTAGCCGAGGCTCTCTTTCTCTCTCTTTTTTCTTTTTTTTATTTATTTATTTTCCTTTGTAAGTCTTTGGGCAGAGCTGCAAAGTCTATAAGCCTTGGCTCTGTCCTCCAATCAATGAATTCTTCATTCCTTAAATTTGATTGCGATTCTGCATCTAGCTCTGATTCTTTCTTCCATTACTTTTTCCTTAAACTTTTTAGACTTGCTTTTGTAAGCTGGAACTTATCTATGAATAATTTCCATCTCGCACCTCTTAACTCGTAAGTTTGAAGGATTGAGCGTGAGATAATTTTTCACATCACACCCTTAAGGTTTGAATCTAAGAGTTTCTTTAATTGGTCTTTAATATTTCTCCTCGAACTCAGAAGTCCAGAAGATAATACTAAGCAACAATTTGAACTTCCTACATCGCACCTTTAACTTGAACGTTTAAAGGGTTGAATTTTTAGTCCATAATTAATATTCACATCGCACCTCGCACCCATGGGTTTAGAAGATTGAATTTGATAAATTTTTGGCTTTACCTTGCTGATCTTAAGTCTTATGGGAGTCCGTCGCCCCCATTTAATTTCTGATCGAACTCGGAATCACGAAATTAAATAACTTCGTTTATTAAATATTCCGTCCCTTGAAAATTTTTACAAGTCCATTTTAGGACTATTTTCACATTTCAAGGGTAATAGCGCTTCAAGTGCTCGCGTTCCATGGATGCGCAAGCACTTGTCCTTCCAGGTCGGCCAGCATATACGTTCCAGGCCGGACTATGCCTTTAACCTCAAACGGTCCCTCCCAACTTGGGTCAAGGGTGCCCACATGACTCTGAATTTTCCTTAAGACCAAATGTCCAACTTGGAAGCTTCGAGGTCGAACTCGGGCATTGTAATGTCTGGCCATTCTGTTTTGATACTCTGCTAGGCGCAGCTGAGCCATCTCCCTTTTTTCTTCCAATAAGTCCAGGTTAAGGAGTAGCTCTTCTTCGTTCTTCATTGGCTCGTACTGCTCTACTCTGTCTGTTGGTATGCCGATCTCAACTGGTACAACAGCTTCAGAGCCAAAGGCTAGTGAGAACGGAGTTTCACCAGTTGACTCTCTCGGGGTGGTCCGATACGACCATAATACTTCAGGTAGCTCCTCGGCCCATCTTCCCTTTCTGGAATCCAATCTCAGCTTGAGTCCTCGCTTTATGATTTTGTTTACTGCTTCGACCTGCCCGTTGGCCTTCGGATGAGCAGAGGACGAGCTGAGATGACGTATTCCCAGGTTACTGCAAAAGTCTTTGAACTTTGCGTTATCAAACTACTTTCCGTTGTCCGTCACAGTAGCATTTGGTATACCAAAACGGCATACAACGTTTGCCCATATGAAATATGTGACTCTGGACTCTGTGATGTGGGATAGTGCCTCGGCTTCGGCCCACTTGGTGAAGTAGTCCACAGGGACAACGGCGAACTTGGTTTGTCCTTTGCCCAGGGGAAAATGACCTATGATATCTACCCCCCACTGCGCGAATGGCCATGGGACCGAGATGGGGGTAAGCAGTTCGGGAGGTTGATGAATAATGTTTGCAAAGCGCTGGCAGTTGTCGCAGGTTTTCACAAATTGCCTTGCATCCTATTAGACAATGGGCCAATAGTACCCTTGTCGAAACACCTTGGCCGACAACGACCTGACGCCTGAATGGTTTCCACACACCCCTTCATGGATTTCTCTAAGAATGTAAAGGCCTTCTTCGGGAGTCACACACTTAAGCAGAGACAGGGAGAAGCCATGTCGGTACAACGCTCCTTCTTAGAGTGTGAACCGAGCTGCTCTCCGTGCCATCTTCCTTTGCTCCTTCGGATCTTGCGGTGGATTTCCTTTGATGAACTCCACGATTGGGTCCACCCAAGAGGGTGATGGAGTGTCAACCTCCATCACATCTGGCTCCAATATTGAAGGGCTGTCCAAGATCTCGACCGGGACCGATCTAGCCAGATCGGTCTCATATGCTGATGCCAATTTGGCTAAGGCATCAGCATTGGAGTTTTCAGATCTTGGAATTTGAATCACCTCGTAAGTCCCGAACTGGGCGAGGTGCGATCTGACCTTGCTAAGATATTTTTCCATTCGGGGGTCCTTCGTTTGGTACTCCTCCTTAATCTGATTTACAATTAACTGGGAGTCACTAAAGACCTTAATGTGGTTGGCCCCCAGTCCTTTGGCAACGCGCAGGCCTGCCAGGAGTGTTCGTATTNTTTAATATTTCTCCTCGAACTCAGAAGTCCAGAAGATAATACTAAGCAACAATTTGAACTTCCTACATCGCACCTTTAACTTGAACGTTTAAAGGGTTGAATTTTTAGTCCATAATTAATATTCACATCGCACCTCGCACCCATGGGTTTAGAGGATTTAATTTGATCAATTTTTAGCTTTACCTTGCCGATCTTAAGTCTTATGGGAGTCCGTGGCCCCCATTTAATTTCTGATCGAACTCGAAATCACGAAATTAAATAACTTCGTTTATTAAATATTCCGTCCCTTGAAAATTTTTACAAGTCCATTTTAGGACTATTTTGACATTTCAAGGGTAATAGCGCTTCAAGTGCTCCGCGTTCCATGGATGCGCAAGCACTTGTCCTTCCAGGTCGGCCAGCATATACGTTTCGGGCCGGACTATGCCTTTAACCTCAAACGGTCCCTCCCAACTTGGGTCAAGGGTGCCCACATGACTCTGAATCTTCCTTAAGACCAAATGTCCAACTTGGAAGCTTCGAGGTCAAACTCAGGCATTGTAATGTCTGGCCATTCTGTTTTGATACTATGCTAGGTGCAGCTGAGCCATTTCCCTTTTTTCTTCCAATAAGTCCAGGTTAAGGAGTAGCTCTTCTTCGTTCTTCATTGGCTCGTACTGCTCTACTCTGTCTGTTGGTATGCCGATCTCAACTGGTACAACAGCTTCAGAGCCAAAGGCTAGTGAGAACGGAGTTTCACCAGTTGACTCTCTCGGGGTGATCCGATACGACCATAATACTTCAGGTAGCTCCTCGGCCCATCGTCCCTTTCTGGAATCCAATCTCAGCTTGAGTCCCCGCTTTGTGATTTTGTTTACTGCTTCGACCTGCCCGTTGGCCTTTGAATGAGCAGGGGACGAGCTGAGATGATGTATTCCCAGGTTACTGCAAAAGTCCTTGAACTTCGCGTTATCAAACTGCTTTCCGTTGTCTGTCACAATAGCATTTGGTATACCAAAAAGGCATACAACGTTTGCCCATATGAAAGATGTGACTCTGGACTCTGTGATGTGGGATAGTGCCTCGGTTTCGGCCCACTTGGTGAGGTAGTCCACAGCGACAACGGCGAACTTGGTTTGTCCTTTGCCCAGGGGAAAAGGACCTATGATATCTACCCCCCACTACGCGAATGGACATGGGGCCGAGATGGGGGTAAGCAGTTCGGGAGGTTGATGAATAATGTTTGCAAAGCACTGGCAGTTGTCGCAGGTTTTCACAAATTTCCTTGCATCCTGTTCGACAGTGGGCCAATAGTACCCTTGTCGAACCACCTTGGCCGACAACGACCTGGCGCCTGAGTGGTTTCCACACACCCCTTCATGGATTTCTCTAAGAATGTAAAGGCCTTCTTCGGGAGTCACACACTTAAGCAAAGGCAGGGAGAAGCCACGTCGGTACAACGCTCCTTCTCGGAGTGTGAATCGAGCTGCTCTCCGTGCCATCTTCCTTTGCTCCTTCGGATCTTGCGGTGGATTTCCTTTGATGAACTCCACGATTGGGTCCATCCAAGAGGGTGATGAAGTGTCAACCTTCATCATATCTGGCTCCAAGATTGAAGGGCTGTCCAAGATCTCGACCGGGACCGATCTAGCCAGATCGGTCTCATACGCTGATGCCAATTTGGCCAAGGCATCCGCATTGGAGTTTTCAGATCTTGGAACTTGAATCACCTCGTAAGTCCCGAACTGGGCGAGGTGCGATCTAACCTTGCTCAGATATTTTTCCATTCGGGGGTCCTTCGTTTGGTACTCCTCCTTAATCTGATTTACAATTAACTGGGAGTCACTAAAGACCTTAATGTGGTTGGCCCCCAGTCCTTTGGCAACGCAGGCCTGCCAGGAGTGCTTCGTATTCGGCCTCATTGTTTGAAGTCCGAAAGTTGAATCGCAGAGCGTACTCAAATCGCTCGCCACCCGGTGCGAGCAAGAGAATTCCTGCCCCGCACCCCCTCTCATTGGAAGATCCATCAACATAGATCGTCCACGAGAGGTCGGACTCGGTCGACTGGGACGGTGGGGTAAGCTCCGCGATGAAGTCTGCCACTGCTTGCCCTTTTAACGCGGTTCTTGGCCCGAACTGGATGTCGTACTCGCTCAATTCCAATGCCCACTTCATCAGACGCCCTGATGTTTCAGGCTTAAGGAAGATATTCTTCAGGGGCAAGTTTGTAAGTACTAGAACAGTGTGTGCCTGGAAGTACGGCCTAAGTCTTCGGGCCGATGTGACTAAAGCGAGGGCCAGCTTCTCCATTTGGGGATATCTGGTCTCAGCCTCAGTCATGGCCTTACTAGTGTAATAAACGGGACTTTGGCACGCGCCCTCCTACTTGACTAGGGCCGAGCTGACGGCGCTATCAAACACTGCCAGATACAAGTGGAGCTTCTCTCTTGACAATGGTTTTGCGAGTAGAGGTGCCGAGCAGAGATAGTTTTTTAACTGCTTCAGTGCTTGCTCACACTCTACCGTCCATTCGAATGGTCCCTTCTTCCTAAGAACCTTGAAGAAAGGAAGGCACTTGTCCGTTGATCTTAACACGAACCTATTCAAGGCTGCAATCCTGCCATTGAGGCACTGAAGCTGCTTTAGAGTCTTGGGTGCCTCCATCTCGAGCACGACCTTTATCTTCTCTGGGTTAGCTTCGATCCCACAGTTGTTTACCATAAAACCAAGGAATTTTCCCTAGGAGACTCCAAAGGCACACTTGGTCGGATTGAGCTTCATTTGGTACTTGCGCAGTACTCCAAAGGCTTCAGTCAGATCGGAAAGATGCGACTTTGACTGCTTGCTCTTGACAAGCATGTCGTCCACATATACTTCCATATTCCGACCAATCTGCTTGGCGAACATTTTGTTCACCATCCTTTGGTAGGTTGCACTCGCATTCTTTAGGCCAAAAGGCATCACCTTGTAGCAGTACAGACCTTGGTCTGTTATGAACGCGGTATGATCTTGGTCTGGCAAGTGCATTTTAATTTGGTTGTATCCGGAGTAGGCATCCATGAAGGTGAGCAGCTCGTGCCCGGCTGTTGCATCCACGAGCTGGTCGATCCTTGGCAAAGGGAAGCAGTCTTTTGGGCATGCCTTATTTAAATTTGTGAAGTCCACGCACATTCTCCACTTCCCGTTGGATTTTTTAACTAACACAACATTAGAGAGCCACTCGGGATACATAATTTCTTTTATATATTCAGCCTTTAAAAGTTTGTTAACTTCCTCAACAATTACATCACTCCTCTCCTTATTTACAGGTCTTCTCTTTTGCTTTACAGGTCGGAATGATGGGTCTATGTTGAGGCGATGCACCATGATCTTTGGGTCGATGTCTGGCATGTCCTCGTGAGACCATGCGAAGACGTCCGAGTTGGACCTGAGGAAGTTGATCAATTCCTCCGTCAGTGGCCCCCAGCTTGGTTCTTATGCTTACTTGTTTTTCAGCGCTAAGTAAAGGAACAAGCTCGAGCTCTTCTGTTGGCGGGGAGAACTGCCTTTTGCCTTCCTTAGGCAGGTCGGCCTCGGACTCTCGCAGCTTGTCGCGATTGGTTTGTTCTTCCAGGGCGCATACTGCCGACCCTTTAAGCGCGAATGCATAACATTCCCGTGAGGTCTTTTGCTCACCTCGGACCGTGCCCACTCCATTCGGGGTTGAGTACTTCAAGACTTGATGCAGTGTGGAGGGGACGGCCCGGAATGAGTGAATGATGGGTCTCCCGAAGATGGCATTGTAGGTCGATCTACCGTCAATAACCACAAACTCGGCCATCTGAGTTACTTGTGTACTATCTTGCCCAATCGTAACCGGCAAGTCGATACACCCTTCAGGGGAGACCGATTCTCCAGAGAATCC